AAAACAGTTGTTCACCCCTGGGATTTAAAAAGGCAGAGCGGGCCTGAATAGCAGACCTCAATGAGGGATCCTAGGGAGGTCTGTCTCTTCCCAGGAAAGAGCAAGGCCTGCCATTGGCCACCACGGTCTTTTAGCTAAAAGCCAGTAAAATTGGAGAAAAGCAGCGTGTCCTGGAACAGTTCTCAGCATTTCTGATGACTGCTATGAGAGTACTGACACGTTTGTAGAGCAGTTATATTAACAATGTACTTCCCCTTTTGTTGGGACAAGAGTACGAAGTATTATCATGCCCATACTTATTATTTTATTATTTATCTCACTAAAAGCCTAATCCAAATGCTTTGAGTCAGAAAAATAAGATTCAGACCCTAACACAGGCAAACTGAGTGTCCATTTCCTCACCTGGAAACTGAGAATACCACCCACCTACCTTGTGGGGTTATAGGGAAACATAAATAACAGGAGGGTACTTAATACCATGTCAGACATACAGTAGTAGATGCTCAGTGTTATCTCACTTACTCCGGACAGAGGGCTATCTTATCTTTTATCACTGCACTACTTAGCACAGAGTCTAGGTGCCTAATTATTTGCTAAATTATAGAGACAAAAGGACAACATTAATGGCAGAACAAGTCCTTGATTCAACACTTTCAGGTCGAGCAAAGTGCTTTCTGCAACACAAGGCTGCCTCTCTGGTGGTTTGAAAATACTCTTTTTAACCCATTGACAGAAGTTTTGCATGAGCTTGGACCCACCTATAAATTCAAAGTAAGCAAACAAAATACTTTTTCATCCTTCAAAAACTTCCTCCCAGTTTTTTCTTACTCCTTCATCTAAGGTCCTTGTTCTAGGAAGTGTTTTCTCCCACAGGAGATAGATACCCATTATGTTTGTTAGAATTTTTTAAATTAACTGTACTTATAAAGTCACATAGCACTCAAACATTTAAAGCCCAAAGCCACAACCCAAGACACGGGGGCAGCAGGATCACGCTGAGTTTGCACACCAGCTCCCTAGCCTCTGGTAACCTGCCAGTTCTAGCTTGCTGAGCCTCCAAAACCAGGAAACAGACCTCTGTGACCTCCCAAGTATTTTCCACCCATCACAACAAAAGTGTTTTGAAGCCCAAGATGAAAGGATGTGATCAAAGAGGCCAAAGGTATAGGCTCCTAAGAGAAGAAAACAAGAGAGATGGTTTCCATGTGATAGAGGACAGGAAATGTGTGGGCAGGAGGTGCTTTGGGCTGGGCTTCTCACAACTGCAAAGAATAGCGGGGCCAAACTATGTACAGTGGTTGTGGTAAATGGCTTTTTGCCCTACAAGAGCACAGAAAGTAAAAATAAACCACCCCATAGAGATGTTGAACTAGAGGCAGCAGGAAATGCTAGGAAATACCTCACTGTCTATACGGTAGTACTCAAAATCAACTCGTTCAACACGCTTAAGTTAAAAAACAAAACACCCAAAAATCAGAAACTCAATTGGGGTTGGGAGGAGAGGATGCATTTCTTTAAACTTGAAGAAATAGCTCCACAGCTAATTCTTCTGTACATATGGAGTTGAGAATCACAGAGCAAGCACAGAGCAAGTCAATGGAAGCCTAAAAACAAATGAGTCACCTATAATGAACCTTTAACTAAATTTAAACCCAAGACTCCAAAAGCAGTCTGTAGGTTTCTGCCCTTTTGCAAATGGTGAAGACACGGCAAAGATGAATGTTTCCCATTGGTGGTAACTGGCTTTGAGACAATAGCTAAACTGATAAATGGGAATTTAATAATATCTGTCCCATGTATCTCAAGATCATTGTGAGAAATTAAACAAAACCTATATATTAAAGCTTCTGAAAATTGCAATGTCTTGATCAAATTATTGCTATTCCTCCCAGTTTTCAACCCATTTGTCTTTAATTACAGATGTTTTTCTCATTCAGAATACCCATTTAGGGCTGGCCGGTTAGCTCAGTTGGTTAGTGTGTGGTGCTGATAACACCAAGGTCCAGTGTTCAATCTCTGTACCAGACAGCTGCCAATAAAAAAAAAAAAATCCCAAAATACCCATTTAACCAATCAAGATTAAAAATAATCCAGAAGCCTCCCAATAAAGCTCTATGACATCTGTGTGTAAATTTTAAAGCAAATTAAACTGCTCAATCATAATCTTAGTGGACTAGTATCCCCAGGGGTGATAAACCATAGCCCACAGACCCACAGCCAGTTTCTGTAAATGAAGTTATAATGCAACATAGCCATGCCAATTCAAGAAAAAGCTTGCTGACTCCTAAGCCAGAACTGTTCTCAAAGTTTAGTGTGTATCAGTCAGGCAGAGAGCTAATAAAGAACAGACACCCAAGCTTTTCACTAAGTGACCAAGTAACTATGAGACACACCAAAACTTGAGAACCACTGCTCTAGATATAGATCTTCTCAAACTTTAATGTACACAGAAGTCACTTAGTGACCTTGCTAAAATAAAGATTCCACTTCTGTAGGATTGGGATGGAACCTGGGAGTGTCCTTTTCAAATAAGGTCCCAGGTGATGTCAATACTGTTAGTCAGTAAACAACATTTTGAGTAGCAAGAATCCAGAGCCATGCTTCTCCAACTTGGCTGCACAGTGGAATCACCTGGGTAACTTTATAAACTACAGATGCCACCCTCAAAGATGTTTTATTATTGGTCTGGGTTGTGACCTGGACATTGGAAATTTGTTAAGTTCCCTAATGTGCAACCAGGTTGGAGAACCTCTAGAACACAACTCATCTGTCAGCTAAATTTAAATAATGTAATTTTCAACATAGCTTGTTTCCCCTTTATGGCAAATCTATAGCACCCAAGATGGAAATAGGGCTCCTAGCATGATACATAAAAATATGCCTAGACTTCAGCCAGCTGACCTATATCCTACCCAAGCTTTGTCATGAGCTCTGATCTTAAGCAAGTCACAAATGTGAGCTTCAATTTCCTCACTTATCTAATGAGAACTGGAACCCCTGAGATAACTGCAAGAATAAAATAAGAGTATTTGTGAAAGTGCTTTGGAGAATACTGTATCCTATAAGTCAACATATACACAACCCCCACTTTTTGAACCATGCTTACATTGCCTAAGAGATACATATATGGGTTACTCCAAAAAGTGCATGGAAAGATTCACATTATCTTTCAATTCCATTATTCCATGAACTTTTTGAAGTATCTACATAGATCACTTTTTACCACAAAAGTATGTTGGAACATGTAAATGTGGAAACACACACTTAGTTCAATTTCTAACAAAGTGCTTAATGATGTAGTTCCAGGAATGCATTGTGTCATAAGAGCAGAACCACCTGTGACAATTGCAGGCTTAGTAAAGGATTACCTGCTCCAGGGAAAAGACAGAAGACTGCCTCTTCCGAGGGTTGTCAACACTGCCTTTGTCATTAACTTCAAATACACTTAATGAAAACTAGGAGACAGGTTCGCAGTTGTAAGTTACCAATTCATAAATACCTTGGCACAGAGGACTGAAAGAAAAAAAAGAATTTTGATATCAATAAAGGATAAAAACGAAAAACAGAGGCATAAGGAGGAGTAGCATGGAGTTTTTTAATTTGGAAGGCAAAAGGTTACACTTAATAGAAGGCAGAGGTCATGTTAATAGATGTTCATTACAAGTTGTTCTGACACAGAGAAAGAGAACTTCTTTGGGCTCTCCACCTGCATACCAATCAGATTCAGAGGTAAATACAAATCTGAAGAAAATCCATGTGTCCAACAAGCTGCCATCTTTGGAACTTGTATCCAGGGGAAACCAAAAAGTGAACCTAAAAGAAAGAAGCAGACAGGTAAAATGTCTTATGATACCAGAGACAGGGCCCCAATCTTTTGATCTAAATACTTTTTTTCTTTTTTTGGCCGCTGGTCAGCATGGGGATCCGAACCCTTGACCTTGGTGTTAACAACACAGTACTCTAACCAAGTAAGCTAACCAGCCAGCCCCTTTTGATCTAAATTCTAACCCACAAAACAGTTATGGGGTTGATTCCTAAACTCAGGACAGTATTTAAGCCAGGCTAGAACAACCAAAATGAAGCAATGTTTTCACAGAACATTCTATGGGATGTTAAGGGTAAAAAAAAAAAAAAAATAGACGAATCTCTAAGAAAAAAGTTTCATTTGGGAATAGGGCATTGCGGGAACATGCATGCCATAGTAAACTATGCATATTCAGGGAGGTAAAGGAAGACAAAGAGTTCTAAAGGAAAAATGATGGAGGATTACAAAATTGTTTCGAGATAATTATCCTTGACTACGAGGATCAAATGACAAGGGTGACACCAGCCCCAGGATGGACAAACAGTTGCTGGGCAGATATCCTTGCAGAAGTCATTTCTGAGTAAGGCTGTGGTGGCTTCTGTGCAAAGCTGTGGTTTTGCAGAGTCCTTTGTTATTACAAAGTTCTTGTTATCAGGCATTTATGCATAAGAACCCTTCTCTTCATGGCCTTCCCCAGCTCTATTTGTCAAGGGTTTTAATACAAGTGACTCCATTTTGATACTGAAAACTTTCACAGGGAGTAGTATCCACAAAATTAATGTTCAAACCTGAATTCCAAGTACTTCAAGGCAAAACTGACTAAGAACTGGGAGACATGGGTTGTAACTCCAGCTCTTTCAATAATTAGCTGCATGACTTTACATAAGTCACTCTGACCTCCCTGGCCCACAAATTCTTTGAGGTGAGGGGGTTGCAGTTTAGCCTAAAGAGCTTTTCTAGATCTAGAATGCTTATAAAGCACTGATTTCCAGTTTGGGCGAGGATAGAGAAAGAAAGGATTTAAGAGAGAAAGTAGAGAAAAATTCCCAATCTGAGATTTAACAAAAGACCAGAATAGAAGAAATAATTTAGTTTTCATTTAAAGATGAGATTATTTTTGGCAAGGAGAAGGTGGAGAATAACTCTAAGAAAAGTACCTACATTGCTGCTACAGCCAGATGGAACTGGTGGAGCCCTCCCTGAAAGACACAGGCTTCCTTTGTAGTCCCTCAGGGTGGAATTTCCCACCTAGTGATCTCCAACATGGGCGTGGCCAGAAATTGACCTTTTGGCCCTAGGGACTCCAACTGTAAGCAGCCAATTTTCCCACAGTGTGCCATAAAAATACTGTAATCTTCTATTTGTGCCATGACTTGAAAAAGGTTGGGAAACACTAGCTTCCAGAACTGGGCCACCCCAGTAGGTAAAAGGGCATCACCTTATTTTGTGTGTTGGTTCAAGTGACCTGGAAATTCTAGCATCAGAGCTTAAAGAAAAGATTTAAGAATTCTAGCCAGAATGTTTTTATTTCAAAACTAACAGTGGTATTTACAGAAATGCTACATAACCACAGAACATTCTCATATCAGTGAAATTGTGAAAAATGTGTAAAAGAAAGAGCAATAACAGGGAGCAAAAAATGTTCACAGTGCAAAACAAGAACAAACAGAGCTATTAAAACTCACCTATTCATTCCATCAAATTCCTTAAAGCAAACTCCCTGGCAATGGAAACAATGAACCAAAATAACATATCTATTCCATCAAATTCCTTAAAGCAAACTCCCTGGCAATGGAAACAATGAACCAAAATAACATAATCAATTCTAATGGCCAAGGTGAGAGAGGACTACAGCATAAGGCCATTTTAAGTGAACAAAGCCTTGACACATTTACAATTATAAAAGAAATCCTACTTTAGCGCAAAAAGTGAGTTTCAAAATTCTATGATATTAAAACATTTAAATCTACGATGTTTGAGGCCAGTCTGTGTGGGTGGCAAAAATGACTCATGAGAGTCTCTTTGACAATGGTTTTCAGAAAACCCTATTTACAAAGATCTCCCTTCTTTTAAGGCAAAGATATGTTCACCAGACACTATTCTTAAAGCAGAGGTTCAAGGATTCTTTGAAATGTTAGTTCAGTAAAATTAAGACTATCTAGGGGCTGGCTGGGTAGCTCACTTGGTACAGTGTGGTGCTGATAGCACCAAGATCAAGAGTACAGATCCCCATACCGGCCAGTTGCCAAAAAAAAAAAAAGTATACTATTCAACAGCTCAGAAGAATGATTTTGACTGTTAACCAGGGGATAAATGTTTTGGGAAACTAATAAAATCTCCTCCCCTGATATCAAGACATGCAAAATGGAAGACACCTACTGAGAAAAGTTAGCATGACTTCTTTAGTCTATTTCACCCATGCAGAAAAGCCAGTGCCATTTGATCAGTCTGTTCTAATCATCTTAAAAGAAAGCAAGACACAACACAAAGAACTGTTAAAAAAATAATAATAATTACTCTCTATATGGATATAAAAGATAATGCCAGACAGGGTCATTTCTATTTGGAATCTGTAATCTTCTCTAGCACCATCTCTATTCACACACACTAGCACTGGGCAGGTTTGCTCAAGTACTGATTTTCTGTCGAATCCATCTCATCCTGGATCCTCGTCACCCAATTAAAACTGAAATTAGAGATAATGTGAACCAAAGACCATTCTGCAGAAATTCTAGGTTCAGAACTAAATTTGAATTACTATAATTTTAGAAGGCACACATTGTACATTTTTTTTAATGAAAGGAGCTTTAGAGATCAGCTAGCCTAATGCTTTCATTTCAGAGATGAGAAAACCATAACCTGATAGCTTGACAAATTTCTCCAGAGCTGTGTTGTCCATCACTGTAGCCACTAGCCTCAGGTGACTATTTAAACTTAGCTAAAATTAAATTAAATTAAAAATTCAGTTCTTTGGTCACTTAGCCACATTTCAAATATAAAATAACCACATATGGCTAGCGGCTACCATCTTGGGCAGTGCAGACCCAGAATGTTTCCACACTACAAAATGTTCTATTGGACACAGCCGGTCGAGGGCCACCCTCACTAGATAAAGTCAGGTCTCCTGATCTGCACTGTCCTGCATTTTTCCTGGACCCTATTAAGGATGGCCAACTTGGCAGAAACATTTTGCGATATCCTGTCTTCATCCTTTCTTATCCACCTCTCCTAAGTTTTTCCCATTTACAAAAGAAAAGCAAGTTTGGTATTTTTCATGAAAACCTTCTAACAGGAAGATGTATATACTCATCATCCAAAAGTCCTTGAACATAACAGAGAGGAAGGAATATAAAAGTTCAGAGTCCAAATGTCTGTTATCAAGTTCCCACTCAGTCACCTGTTAATTCCAGGACCTGGGTAAGTCAACTTAAATTTTACCAAGGTTTAATTACCTCAGGAGTAAAATGGAATACCAATATTCGTCTACCTCCATCACAAGGTAGGTAGCAAGAATCACACTGAGTTAATGTATGTAAAAGTATATGTGGAATGTATGTGAATCCTGCAAGCCTGGTAATGTGATAACTAAAACATTTTACAAATGTTTAATTTTCTAAAGAGCTTTATACAAATATTGTGCATTTTGTTGTAAACAATCACACTTTAACTTCCCATCTTCTGTGAATGGATGATAGGAATCTGGAAATATAAGTAAAAAGTAACTGAAGAGAGAAAAAAAAAAAGCAAAGCCCAACTGAGGACCCACAGAAACAGCACAATCCTCCTCAAACACAACAGGGACCATCATAAATTATATTGAGAGGCTTTAACAGCTGCAAGAGACTATGATGAACATCCAGGCCAATCCCCTCACTGCAGATGGGAAACTGAGGCTCAGAGACAAGCCTATTTGTCCATTCAACTTGTTAACAGAGCAAAGTCTACAATGCATGTCTTCCAACTTCTTGTCTCATGCTCTTGCCCACCCCACAGCCTCTCATATGAATCTTTTCCTTGGCCTTTTTCTTCCACAGCACTTTCCACATGTCTTTGCAGCAAGTAACTAATGATACAGCTATTGGTTTTTGCAGTTGAAAATAACTTATTCATTGATACAGTCATTCAACAAACATGCACTGTGACTGTTAGCCCTGTGCTAAGCCCTGAGGCCCTACCCTCAGAGAACTTGAGAGTCCAGTGGCAGAAACAGGAAAATGAATGAATAGTTTCATAACAATATGATTAAGTGCAGCATTAGCAGTATGCACATGGACCCTGAGTTCCCAGAGAAGAAGCCTATGCAGCCTGGGGGTGGGATGACTTGGACTAAGAGTTACCTGAGCTGAAAGGATGGAGAAAATAAGGAAGATAGTTTATCAATGAAATTCATTAATACAAATCTACTTCATATTCTCTTTTTTGTTTTTTTGGTAGCCTTAAATGAGCCAAATACAAGATAGAGTTTAGTAACCAATTATAGGATCATCAATTAGTGTTTTTTTAATAAATAAAATAAGCAGATGCAAGGTTTTAAGAACAGGTAGAGGGTTGGCCAATCAGCTCAGCTCATTAAAGAATAGCCTTGTAGCACCAAGGTCAGGGTTTAGATACTCATACCGACCAGCTGCCCAAAAAAAAGAATAGGTAGAGAATTAATCTTGCATTCCAACCAGGGAGAAATGAGTTGAAAAAAAGTTATGCTGTGCTTACCTCAGAAAATTTTCTACAAACTTAGGACAGTTCCCTTTCGGAAAACTTATTTGGTGGCTGGACCTAATTCAATATAAAGTAGAAATGCTGAAGAGAAAATGAAATAGGGTGAAATAGGGCTGGCCAGTTAGCTCAGCTGGTTAGAATGTGGTGTTATAACACCAAGGTCAAGGGTTCAGATCCCCTTACCAGCCAGCTGCCAAAAAAAAAGGAAAGAAAATGAAATGAAAACAAAACAGGGCCCCACCAACAAAAAAGTTAAAATTGTTGCTGGTAGGAGGTCATTGTTGAGAGCAAT